TCATTTCTAAATTTTCCCATCATACATTCAATAATTTTGAAAATTATACACTATCACAACTAGTTTTTTAGATTTATCCTTCATTCCATCACATTATTCCACTATATTCTCATCATACCCTCAATAATTCATATCATCTTTCACTATTTTTAAACTACCTACTTTTGAAGTGGGAATGTTTTTAAATTATAGAGGGAGTATTTGATATCAAACGGTACGAGGATGTTGTCCTATGCTAAAACAAGTATCATATGTGTACACTTACTTTGAAAATGCAATCACTCAAGCCATTTTGACATGCTATAACAGGTTATGTTTGAAAAAATAAATTAGGACAATCATTAATTAAATCCTATAAAAAAACATATAAATTTGAAAAAAATATTGTAATATAAATATTTAGACATCGTTAAAATGAAAAATAAAATATTATTGATTTAAAATTGTTTAGCAAAAATATCAGGAAATGAAAACTAAATATGCAAAATTAAAATATAAAAACTTTTAAAAAGATGTGTAATATACAAATAATTCCAAAAACACAAAACCGCAGAGTTCAAAACTTTTAAACTGTTCAGATATTTTATTTATATTGATTCAAATTTTAACAATTATAATACTTTTTTATTTAAAAAAATATGCTATTACATGTCAAAAATTGATTAAATGGCTAGACCGAATTACTTTTTGAAGTTAGCACCCTTCAGTAATACATTTTTAGTATAGGGATTTATGTGAAGAAATGCAAATAAAAATTAGTGGTATTGAGTCGTCGATTATAATTCGGATTAGGAGCTACACAAGTTATGCAAATTTAACTCTATTTTCATCTCTATATATTATTATAAAATGGAATATTGTTAGGGGTATTTTGGTGGGGGAAAAAATGATGTTGTCTCTTAATGATTTAGTCATTGAGTAATGCTAGAGGTATAAAAAGTCTTACAAAAGGCCACAGGTATGTGGCATCATCACATTATTTAACATATCGCATCACATTTCCAACACTTCTTCATCAAATGTAATTAGAATAATCACTTGTTTGTACATCTAGCATTTTTTAGTTTAATTTGTTGCACATCTCACCTCATTTTAACTTTCTGTTTCAACGGAAATGTTAACCGTTATCCATGGCATCTTCCTTCTTTCGTTCTGTTTAATGGATATTCAATTCAATTATCCGCTTGATTTAAGGATAACTCCAACACCGCTTGTGGGAGGTAATTGAAGTAGTCTACGACTGGAGAAGCTCTGCGTATCCAAATCCAAGTCTTTGGGGTGGAGAATCCGGGGCGGTGTAGAGTGAAGGTTAATTTGGGAGAGCCGTTGACGGCATAGAAAAGTCATTGAATTCGACGATATCTGTTTTTCAAAATTAAAAAGTAGGAACCGACCAGAGGGTAAGATGTATTTTATCTGTAGATTTGGATGATAATATTTTGGAGAGGATGAAGAAGAAAGAGCAAGAGGAAGGTGAACGCAAGTGAGAAAGGGTAGAGCTCGCACGTTTTGTGCAGCGAAGGTTTTAACTGGAACGTCCATAAAATGAAAGTGTAAAGATTTAACTAGGACGGGAAGTATATGTTATTTAATTTAAGGTAGTTTCTACGAGAGGAATGCTCAGGTCCAGCTGGAGGGACGAGAGCTTCCGTCCGAACTTTGATGTTTGGGGCGGTTCCCGATGGAATTTTTTGATGAATTTTTTTGAACGTGCTCCTCATCAAGTCTAGTTTATCCATGCCAAATTTCAGCTCAAAATTCATTCGGCAAGGCATTCAAATCTTTTTTGAAGTTGACTGCGCCAAAATATACATGTAAAAATGCAATCAACTTCAAAAAATGATTTGACTGCCTTCCCGATCGAATTTTGAGCTGAAATTTGGTATGGATAAATTAGACTTGATGACGAACATGCTCAAAACATTCAATCAAAAAATTCCATCAGGAACCGCCCCAAACGGCGGAATTCGGCCGGCGGCCGGACACAAGAGGGTTGGACATGATCTTTTCTAGTACGTTTCTACGATACCTTAAACATTTTAGAGAAACGATACCTTGTCCCATGTGGCCAAATAAGCAATATACATGTGGATAATCATGTAGTGACCGAGCATTCAATTTAATAAAACAAAGTTTGCATGTCCTTGTGAAATACTCCGTACACGGGATTTTTTTTTCGTACAGGGGAATTTTAAAAGATAACGGAGGTTTGTTGTTCGTTTCCTGCTTTCTACCGAAACCAACAAAGTCCGGTCACTACATGATTATAAAGAAAAACAGAAATAAGATGGAGCAAAATTTAGCCGAAGCTCGTGCTACACACAAATTCCTTAAAATGTATTCGTTGCCTCCCTAGGTGCTAGGAGCGTTAAAATGATCGTTGCCTAGGATACGATAGCTACCAACAATTGTTTGAGTACTCAACAAATTGTTCCAGTGAACGGAGACACAGTATGAAAACTAAGGAAATTTTCCGGAATACTAGAGGTGTTTTTAGCTGAAGAAATACGTGCTGATTGTGTATGATTGCATGTGTTGTTGCAAATCATCTACCAACCATTTATAGGAGGATTTGTGGTGCGTTAACAGAGCTTTAATGGACCGCACATAATTTGTGATGTGCAAAGCACCTAAACGTGGCACATAAATGTCCAACACGTTGGACACTAATATGTCGAAAAACTATCCATTTAAAGAAGCATTAGAAGATAAGAACGTTGGGCAATAAATTTCGTAACGACTGAGAACCGCACGACTAGAACACCCCCAGGTATTCTGGTGTAACGTGCGCGACCAGAACACCCCCAGACCTTCTGGTGTACGTGTTCTGAAGCCATTCTGTCCGTAGTATATTTAAAAGTCGCAGTTTTTCTTCTCCATTTTCGGGATTTGATTCACACCTCCTGCGCGCAAAGAAAGTCTTTCCACCTAAGAATTAACTCCTTAAAAGTGACTTCCCTTTATAAGGGGCTTCAAATCCCTTGAGTTTTCCGGTGTGGGATAAATCGCACTAGAAACGCATTTTTTTCCCCCAATTTTTCCATTTCAACGAGTGAACTTTGAGAATTAATTTCTCATTTACCCATTATCCGTTTTGAGTGTAACATATGTCGAATTGTAGCCCTTAAAAGGGACAATCCAAAACCACTTTGACCCGATCCAAATATATCGGAAGTGGACCCCACTCAGAATATTGTCTCGAAATTACTATTTAGTGCAATTTTAACACATTTTTTCAACACTGTCCACCGCAACCAGGAGGCGGTTTCCTTCTCTCCATCGCAACCTAGGAGACTGTTGTTTTCTGCGGTCCCTCGCTGCTGCTGCATAATCGCGGAAGAGAATCACAACCGCGAGAATTGAAGTTTTATAACCGGCTTCATGTCTCAACAAACTTAGCCCAATCAATTGAGATTTTCAAGTATTGGAAGGTTTCTCTTGATCATATTCTAATAAATTCGGTATGTACTTAGTTTATTCATCACATCTAATTTAGGGATTTGGAAATTATGCATCAATGAGGTAAGAAATAACCCTTTGTTGATCGAAATAAAAGAAAAAAATTAGTAACATATATGGGAACACATGGTTCTAGTTAGCATTTTTTTTGTATCTGTTTTATTCCTGATTATTTTGACTTTACAAAACTTTTTTTTCCAGTTTCTTGATAGAATGCATGGTTTCTAGTTTTAGACTTTTAATGCATAGTTTTGTTATTGATAAAAGTGATAGCATTTTTTATTTAGTAGAGTAATACTCCGTATATGCTTTGATCGATTTAGAAGTATGTATTAAACCTTGTAAAACAAAGTGGTGGATGCCCTTGTTCGACTTTGCCCAATTCATTCATTCAATCATTCATATAGTCAGTGTCAGCATATAGGAGAACCCTTTGGATTTGCCTATGTTAAACTCATAATCGCATAGCCTATTGTTTATTCCATTAAGATTAAACTCATTATTTCCTTAAAATTCCATTGTAATATGAAGTAGTCAGGTAAGTTTATATCAATAACAGCCTGTTTTTAAATATGCTATCCAAGCCTATCATATATTACATCTTTTCCCTTGTATTTTGATTGAAATCTGATGTTTTTCTCCATCAACAGTGAAATGATGTGTCATTTATCTGTTCGGGCAAATCTGACAAGATACTAAAAATTCTAGCACTTTGCTTTGAACTGTTGAAACTGATCATCTAATCTGGATGCCTTTACCAGAAAAGTTGTCGTCCTACGGGAATATGATTGTTAAATTTGAAGGCTTCCGGTCACGCTTATTGGTGACCATAGGCATTTAAATATATGGCAGAAAATTGAGAAGAAAGGGAAAAAGAAGTAAAGATTAAGAAAAAATGAGGAGTGAAAGTAGAGAGGAAACCACATGTATTGTTAAACTTGATACATGTTTATAAATTGTTTAATATGGCTTGATATTGTCCAACTCAAGAGAAATGTTAAATTATGTAAAGTAGAAACCCTGGGATCAGAAGTTATAGGGTTTATTCTATTAGGTTTGGGTCAATAATTTCTCAGCAGGTTAATTAAGCATTGGATTTGAAGTGTGTGAAAATTATCAAGTTATCAACTAAATCTAAAATAAACCAAAGAAACAAAAAAGAACACAAAGAAATAGAAAATCGGAATAACTTTAATTTAATGAAAATAGCATTCTGTTTAACATCCTGTATAAATATAAGAACTTGATTATCTGTCTTTAAATTAGCATTTAGTTTAACATTCTGTCTTTCCAGCATTATGTTCATAATTTCGAAAATAAGTTTCAATGTTAATATTTGCAGCAATCAAATTCAATGGCCTGTGCTCTGGTTAGTGAGGCCTGTGGACTTGAAAATGATTTTTCTTTTAAAATATCTGCACAACCTTATTTCTTATACTTAAGCAGCCATTGCTCCTTTTTAAATCTTATGTTTCCGAGTCTGAACCAATGGTCCTTTTCACAGAATCTATTAAAAAAAATATATTTAGGCAGTTAAACCACAGAGGTATCTGTCTTAGTTTTTCTCATTTTGTTTTCATGCTTCATTTTAGTTTTGGTAATAAAATCCTATCCTTCGTTCCAATCATAGCTCTGAACTAATTGAGACAGTTAAACCACGGAGGTATCTGTCTTAGTTTTTCCCATTTTGTTTTCATGCTTCATTTTAGTTTTGGTAATAACATCCTATCCTTCGTTCCAATCATAGCTCTGAACTATATAGACTTTTGTAAACCTACAGTCCAGTGTCATTGGTTCACTGTGCTGGTTCTTAAAAAGTCAGTAGGACATTTAATCTTTGCTAGATCTCTAGCTTCCATGACAGACTTATTTGTTTCTACTTGGTCATTAAAAGCTTCTATTTCTTTGATTTTTTTTGTGTGATAATGGAAAATGAAAACAATGTCACATTCTATATATGAGTGTGGCAGATATGAGCATGTTGCCTTGGATGTGTGGACATACTAGAAAAAACCGCTTGAAGAATGAGATAATCAGACAAAAGGTAAGAGTAGCACCAATAAAAGATAAGATGCAGGAGTCTCGTTTGCGGTGGTTTGGGCATGTGCGTAGAAGACCGAATGATGCACCTGTTAGACGACTTGAGGGGTGGAGAGAACAAACAAAAATTAGAGGGAGGGGAAGACCCAAACAGACTGGCATTAGAGGAATCAGAACAAATATGCGTCTTCTTGGGTTGGATGAGATTATGGCTTTGAAGAGGGCAAAGTGGAAGACGCGCATTCGTGTGGACGAGTAATCTCTTGTCTAATTTTCCTCTCTCCTTTTCTTGTATCATTTATTTTTTTGTCCTTTTGTGTTCTTATGTTTTTTATCTTCTACCTTCATGCTCTTTTATCTTTTTATCTTATATCTATCTTATATTCTTATGTTATTGTTATCTTATATTTTCATTCATTTTTTCTTTCTCTTTTCTTGTCTATCCTCTCCTTTTGGCATCGATATCATGGATCACTTCAAATTAGCCGACCCCAAAGTCTTTCAGGACTAAGGTTTGGATGTTGTTGTTGTTAATGAGAAATCAAAACTATTCCATCTTGAAATTACTTCTTACTTTGTTTCAATGCATCTAATTCTCACACAGTGTGGTATTTAAATTCCAACTTGTTGTGGATCCATTTCTGTCTTGCCGGATTCGGCTCAGGTATGCCGGAGGTCGGTTTCCGGCGGTCTCTTGTGCACACCAAGGCTAAGGGAGCAACGACCTATTCTACCTTGCTCACTATCATACTCAGCTTCACAGAGAGCTGGTTTCTCATTTTCTCACCTCATTCTCAAAGGTCTATGGAGTGATGGATATATACATCACATGGAAGGAAGGAAGGTGCTGCCTCTCAAAAGAAACAACCTCACATGCAAGGCAGTCAACATCCGGAAGAGGAGTTTGGCTTATTAGCTAGGAGTATGGGTTGACATGGGTTGGCAGATATGCAGGGACACTCAATCACACACATCACATTATTTGCTGAGATAATGAGTCTGGATACATTAAATCAGGGAGAAATAAACCAAGTCTGGTAACTGGAGTAAGAGTAGTTGGTTGCTAAATAGGGTGTCAACAATTATTAATATACAAAAGCTATTTGGGCCAATAATATATTAACACAACTCTTCCATTTCCTTCTCCCCCAGCACACTATATTGCTGAAACCACCCATCCTTCCTTTCCATTATCTTGGGAGTTTAAAAGGTAACATATATTATATTCTAAAAATTGATTATACGGAGCATATATTACTGAACCAATGTTTGTATAGTTGATGCCACGGTCTTTATTAATCCCCCGTCCCACCCCCATTATATTTCAGGTATTTCCGGATTGTGCATGCACCAATTCTCCCCAGGTCATTTGCATAGGATAGAAGCTACATGAAAGATGCTGCATGAAAATGACAGTCTCAACCTCCTGCTTACGAAGCCATAGGTACTGAAGGTACATACATGAAAGAGTCATGCAATAATATGTCATTTCATGCTGTGAATGCACACAAAAAGTATTGCTTCAGTTTTTATTAAACTGGACCTTTAATATAATTATATTATGATGATTGCTCAATGCTCAATGCTGTAAGGTAGAGGACAACCACAAATGTGTATAATATGTTTCTTTTTTTTGTGCATTTTGCTTTCTTTTCTAGGTACTTAATTGATAGTTTATCTATCTTTGAAATCCTGAATTGATAATATTCCAAAAAAAATTGATGAGAAAAATAGTTTATTTATGCTTTTTTTAACCTAGGAAAGTACAAAGGAGATCATATAAATATGATTACCACTTTATCATTTTACATTATAATTACATTTCTGTATTTATATAAAAGAAATTTATATATACTAGTTTCCTTCCCTTAAGCACTAAATATCACCTTTTTCTCTGTTTTCTTTTTGTAGGTTTAGAGCTGACTTGTTTTTCATGATAATTACAAAATAACTTGTGTCAGCGGGAAGACAAACTAAGTAATATAGGTTACTACCTATATTAACTTGGACCGTAATTTGCTAGTATAGTATGGTCTGATCTGGTCTATTCTGAACTGGTATGGTCTGGTCTCGTAATGTCTGGTCTCTTTGTATTCTTATAACTATCCAAGACTGGTCTAGTCTGGTCTGGTCTTGTCTGGTCTGATCTGGTCTGGTCTGGGACTGATTAAAGTTCAAGTAAAAACATCCTTAACCATTAACCTATTAGTGTTTTAGCACCCATTTGTGTGGTATCCGGTATTAATCATTTGATAAGCCCCCTAAGTTTTGCACCCCGACACTATATGAAAAAACAAAAATGTCCTCGATCAGGAATATATTGAAGGCCAACAAAATTGTTAATGGATGACATTTTTTCCTTTTCACTAGGGTTGGTGTTGCAAAAACGAATATCCTTAAAAACGGGGTGCAAAGTTTGATTTGAATAATAAAATGAGGTGCAAACTCAAATTACCCTTAAATCAAACTTGACCAAACTTAAACAGATCAGATCAAATTGCATTTCTGTAGTCAGACTAGACCATACCCGATCGGATTTAATTAAACAGATCAAAGTACACCAAACCATCAAATGTCTGTGTATTGGAGAAAAAAAATACTCATACTCTTTCAGTAGTCTGCACCTGAAAATAATTTCTTCACTACAAAACCATAACTGCCATTATTCAAAGTGAAGGTTAGAATGTAAAGAATAAATTTTAGTGCAAAAAGAAAAAGAACTTAAATAAAGAGAAGAAATTAAATAAAATACCTATACGGTATTCTTCTTTTGTACCTACCTCGCCTCTCTTTTAATTTATAAAGAAGGCCCTTAGAATTTAATTTTTCGGATAGAACCATATTTAGGGGTGGGGAAAAATACCGAAATTTCGGTATACCGGACTTACCATATCGAAAAATACCGAATTTACCGAAGTGTTTGGTATACCGACACTTTTGGTACGGTATGATACCGTACCGAATTACTTTGGTATGGTATCAGTATATATTTTGGAAATAAACGGTATACCATTATACCATCATACGTAATTCCAATCCAATAATTTCTTTAAAATTATAAAAATAACTAGAAACACAACATTAATTCAAGGATAATGACTTTATATCCATGTTTCTTGAATTATTTATACTTTTTGTTGGAGATTGATTTTATTTCAACTATATTTATGTTGTTTAAATTATTATTTTAGCAGAATGTGTTGTTATCTTCATATATCATGTGTTGAAGTATCCGTACATATTTATAATATTTTTTTTGTTCAAAGTTGAATAGAACAAAAATAGGTTATCATTGGCATTTTATAATTAATTTCATTAATAATTTTAGTATATCACTATTAACACTGATTTTCTATATTTCATTTGATATATAATAATTTCATATTAAATCATGATAATTTACCGATACTGTAGCTTACCGTACCAAAATTTTGGTATACCGAAACAAGGTATACCGAAATTTAGGTATGGTAACGGTATGTATTTTTGCATACCGAAAGTTTACGGTATGATAAATGTACCGAACCACCCCTAAACATATTTGTACCGAACCACCCCTAAACATATTTGTAGTCTCTATTTTCGGCTTTCTACCAAACACAAACTTTTGGCATCATATAAGAACGTGTATAATAATCAAATTTAGGAAGACCGAAGTTATTTTCTGGCTCAATTAGCTGATTTTGATGAGGAGGGCACGCTATAGTTTTTTCACATATTTTTTGTTTTGTTTAAAATTAAGGCTTTGAAACTCAATGGAGTGAGTTTCAGATCTGATTACTCCAGGCCCCCCAACCTTCTCTTTTTAAAGCCAAACATTCCCGCTCAACTGGTTGTGAGGTTATCGTGTCTAGCGAGAGGTCTCGAGTTCGAAACCCGTTAGGCACGTAAGAGTTTGAAACTCAATGAAGTGAATTTCAGCCCTGATTACTTCAAGCCCCCTCCCCCAGATCCACTGGAGTAAAAAATAAATAAATAAAAACTAAAATAAAATAAATTTTAGAAACTAAACGAAATATCCTTAATTCTACGAATTTGACCAATTACTCGATTTGAGCCAAATCTTTCACTGATTCAATATATTTGAGCGCATGACTAAACGAACTTGAAATAAAGGATTCCCGAAGTAAAGGAAATGTCAAATACGTACTCCGTAAGAGATATAGAGAGAAGATATCGAGATACCAATGAAGTAGGGGTGGACCGGTTCCGGTTCGGGCCCGGTTCGGGTCTGGGCCCGGCCGGGCCTCGGTTCAGAAAAATGAGGCCCGAGCCCGAACCGGTGGTGGGCGGTTCTGGGTCCGGTTCCGGGCCAGACCGGGCCGGGCCGGGCCGCCTGGATTTTTAATTTTTTTTTCTTCTTCTCTTATTTAACCCCCTACCCCTCCCTCTCCACCCCAAACCACCCCAAACCACCTCAAATGACCCAAAATACCTAATCCAACCCAAAACTTAAAAAAAATTCCAAAGAAAAAAATAATTAAATTCCGACCCGAACCGGGCCCGGCCCGGCCGGGCCGGTTCACTAAACTGGAGGCCCGGGCCCGGACCGCTATACCACCGGGCCGGGAGGCCCGAACCGGGCATGAACCGGTTCACCGGGCCGGTCCGGGCCCGCACAGTAGCAGGCCGGTCCTGTTCCGGGCCGGTTGGCCCGGCCCGAGTCCACCCCTACAATGAAGTATTGGTCTATTATACGTAGTATTACATAGTGATCAGATCAGACTCATCAGAGGTGCTTAAATATATCTATCTTCAGCGCTAGCTAAGGAAGGAGACATCCAAAGAGATCGCACCGTATCACTTTGTGTCGAAATAGAAGCACACCCAAAATGGTACAATGCGATCCCTTTGGACGTTTACTTTCGTTGCTGTATGGATATAAGAACGAAGCTTGAATTGTGTACCGTGTGGGTGTATAATATATACGTAGTATGTAGAACAAAAAAATATAAGAACAATTGAATTAAGGATTAAGCTTGAATTGGTTGTGAGTGTATGATATTAGTCTCTGATCCGAGGCAGCTCTCCTTTTATAGTGCTCGTGATCAACTGTAGCAAATCATTAGGGGGGACTTTTTCAAAGCTTGATATATTTTTTAACAACTGTGCTAGAGGTACCCCATTTTGGGGTACCCCATTCTTACACCACACATTGTGTGGTCCAAATGAGGCCACACTTAAAAGTGTTGCCCCACTTAAAAGTATTGCTCCAATTGTGACCACAAAATAGGGGTGGGGTATAAAATGGGGTACAAGTTGGGGTGCCTTTAGAGTTTTTCATTTTTTAATTTGTATTTATTATGACTTTGGTGAGGTTTTACCCCTTGGTCGGCCTTCGAGTTTTGGGAAATTTCCAACCAGGTAAAAACAAAAAAAGTACTCCGTAGATACAACGCTAAGGCCTAAGTTTGTTGATTTCGGTCGAGTTATCTAATAGTCGTCGAAAATTTTAGAAAAAGTGTGCATGGTAAATTTAGAGTAGTTTGATCGCTCTATTTTCAGTTCATCAACCTCATCTATCAAACCTTTTAACAATTAATAAGTTTTCGTTTCACGCACTAAATTATGTAATAATCTAGTTCATTAGTGAAAAATTTCTGATATATATGCCACACTTATTTTATGCCACGTGCGGAGCTTTTAAGCACCGCAAAATCCAGTGCCGCAGATTCAATTTTAACGCCGCTTACTTAAGATAAGTGTCGCAAATTGTGCGGCGCTTTTTAAAAAAAGCGCCATAAATTATGTGGCATTTTTTTTGGAAGAATTTGACTTATATTGATAACAGATAATTCAGAGTATGAGTCAAGTGACAAATAGAAATCTGACAACCGTTATCCCGCGAACCAGACTCTAAATTAATCACCCCCAGAGAAGCAATATAATTCGCTGATCCATAAATGGGAAACCTAAAACCTAAAGCCAAAAACGGTCACCATATTCTTCTCATCCCTCACATCTAAAATCAACGTCTTACAACCAGGAACACAAAAGAAAAAACAAACAGCATAACAGAAATAACAATCACTGAACCAACAAATAAATAAAACAAAAGATAAAAAACTTCTTCGCAACCAGAACACTCGAACAGTCTCTCGGACATGCGGCCTCCATACTCCTGTCAACAGCTTCAGCGGGCTTAAAGAGCAAAGCCCGCCTCCTCCCCGTTTTTTGTCCCATCCAAAGCCACATTGTCCTCTTCTTTCTCCTTCTCTGTCTCTTCTTTCTTCTTCTCTGTCTGAGTCTCTCAGATCTTCCTTCTCTTCGAAACCTCTTCCTTTGGCTCCTCTTCTCCTTCTTTGGTAAAGCTTTGGGCGTATTCAGTCGTTGCCTCTTTCTCTCCAATCTTTTCTTCTGATTTTAATGTCCTTGTATATCCACCCGTTCTGCCAGAGCTCGATGAACCCTCCAAGAGCCACTCATTACCTCTTGTTGGGCTGGTCTTCACCCTACTTTCTACTCTAATTAAGATGGATTCCAAACCTGTTTTCTAAAACTAAGCCTTTTTCATAATTTAAGGGACAGAAATTATCTGAGTGTCCAATACAGCCACAAATGAAGCAAAAGTTGGGTAGCCTTTCATATTTGAAATCTACCCAAAAACTTTTACCATCTTTTTTCAGATTTGTCCCCTTCTTCAGCGATTCATCCATCTTCATAAGAACCCTAACCCGCATATATGGCTCCAATTTACACTTTTCTGATTATCATCATATTTAATAAATTCCCCTATAAAATTTCTCACATGTCTGGCAGTACCCAGATTAACAAGACTATAGGGAACATTATGGATCCGAACCCAAAACTCAGTCTCATTTAAAATAATTTTGTGTGGGATGTCATCAGGCATAACTTCTTTTAACATTAAGAGACTACGCTCAAACTGTCACGGACCTCCTTCCAGCACACGCATCATATCATATCAAAACGATGATTATTAAAAGTAAATAGGTACGTCTTTTCACCAATTTCTTTTACCGACATACCCTTCCCCGGCCTCCAAAGTGAGAGCATCATCTCTTTCAGTTCTGGAAATTTGACCTTACGGTCCGTAAGCACCTGACCAATCACCGGAAAACCCGCCACAGCCACCTCCACCGGAACTCCCTCATCCTCAACCTCATCACGGTTCAACTCTTCCTCATCGGCCCCGATCGCCAATAGTTTATACCGATCAACCAATTGTTCCATGCTCCTTATCTAAACCTCGACCGTCGCACTGCTGCTGGAAACTGCCTCAGAAGCTCTACGCTATCGGAACTGCACCGTCCTTCTAGCCTGATCGCTGAACTCGCCCCTTCCCTTGCTTCTGAAACCGAAATAAATAGTCAAAACCACATTCTTCCCCACCAATCCGATTGTCCACAGTCCTGACTCCAACAACACTGCCCAAATCACCCAACCAACCCGCCCTTCAATAGACTCAAAGGCGGACGAGAAAAAAACTAGGGGTTGCATGAGGCAACCCTAGAGAGAGAAAGAACTGGTGCAGCGTAACATGTGGCATTTTTTAATAAAGTGCTTCATACTTTTATATAAAAAAAATATATGAAAAATTACTAAATTAGTAATACCGAATCTCGAAAAACATAAACCCAATTTTAATAGCACAACAAAATTCAAACTCTTCAACATATATACATCATATGAATTGTTACACCAATGTCAAAACAAAATTACGTACACATTTCCCACAATAATTATCTAGCTAGTTAAACACAACATACTAAAGAAGTTGTCTCATAGATTATAGATATTGTGAAAATCTTCTACGTGCTTCATTTCTTGGATGTCAATCCTGAAACATTTATATAAGATAAAATGTAAAGTTAATGAGGCATTATATATATTTTATAAATTCAATAAATGAAGCTAATGTTAATAAAATATATATAATAAATTTGTAATACCTTTACGTAAAGTCATAGCTTTTACACAAGGTGTAAAATAACTTGCACATATCCTCATGCTTAAAATAATAGCAAAAAAACTACTACTCCGGTACGTATTAGAAGCAAAGTCATACCTTAAATTGGCCATCTCTAAACTTCAAAAGGATCAAGTGTTTGTAACCCACTAACCCATTTAGATACTTTCATGCTTGACATACGATTTTACTCAAGCACATTTGTACAAATCATATACTCCCTCCCTCCCTGAAACAACTTCCCAATTTGACCTACACATATTAAGGAAATAAACTTATCAGGGAGTAAATTTTACTGTTTTTATACTGTTTCGACACTGTATGGCACCGTTTGACACTGTTTTGATGTAGATAACTTCCCATTTAAGGAAATGGGAAGTTAAATTAGGGACATCCAAATAAGGAAAGTGAAAGGTTGTTTCAGGGATGGAGAGAGTATGTTTTTAATTTGAGAAGATACGATCAAGAGATAGAATGAAGAACATAGACAGAATTTTGATGTAGTAAACATTAAGGTGTACAAATGAAGTTCTATTTGAAATTTTACATTTTGATTGATGGTGAGACACAAATCCAAAATTTCAGAGCGCTTAACCGGAAATTAGAATGAATATTTCAGCCAAATAAAGTAGTGGCATCAAAAACCCAAACTCATCATAGCTAGTGACAAGCAAAGATCTATATAGAAACACCAAGTATTTATACTGCATCAAACAAAAAGTTCAATCCACCATACATCAACCATATATGAGGCTTAATAAAATTATTTAACTTGAGAAATCATCATCCTAGGCTGAAAGTGAATCCATTAAAAAAAAAAAGGCTGAAAGTGAAAAAATTAAGTTGTCGTAAAGCAATTGTAAGTAAACACTAAAACCACTGAACCAGCACCAAAGTCTGAGTAGGCCTTTGTCTTTGAAGCCCAATCAGTGAAGGTTCGACCTTTTTTATCATCCTCCTGACAAAATCAAGAGAAGTTAGAAATTAAAGAGAATACCAACCGAGAATAGTAGAAAACAGAAAGAAAGAAAAAATTATGACAATGGATAAAGTTAGAATCTCTTGAATAATAAATAGGAGTACTCAATTAGCATTGAGAAGTAATTTACTATGCCATGGGAATTAACAGCTTCCAAGAACCTTAAATTTTTAAAACCCCTTCATAATTCTTCATTAAAAGAACGTTCTCCTATTCTGAAACTTACTTCACTGCAAAATGTTCCATACATTCACTGGCAATAATTACAAGGTTTAAGACCACATCAATGCATGCTAGAGCTGTAGAGCATTTGAGCATCACAACCAACATTTTCTTTTATTTTGTATAAGAAATAAAAGAATCTTTCTTTTTACTATCATAGACTTATAGTTATTTTGCAGTGTTATATTTTTCTCATTGCATTTGGAGGGGAGAGAATGAAATAAAGTATTAAATAATTTTAACGAATTAACATTTCCAGTAATCTTCTCTAATCAAATAAAATCAAATGCACACGTACAATAAATTTAACAAGTAAGAGATACAATTCACTTACTTGAATGAAATTATATCTTGTTTGATAAAGTCATGATTCCCGCTATGATGTCGTTAAATGATGGAAGACTGATCAATAATATTGATCGATTAATAGATGTGTCTCCCAGATAACTATTTACTGTAATTTATAGGTTTCTGATAAGACGTGATATGCATATATCACGCATGGTTTTACATGGCAAGTTGCCGATCACGCGCGCACATATCACATGGGATTGCATAATACGAACTATGTTTTATTTAGTTCCCTCGTTTGCATTACTTTCCTTGTATACCGCCGTATGGCCTTGTATAAATTGTTGCAGTGATAGTGTGAATTTCCTATTATGTATGTTTGTATTTTTAATTAGTTTTATTAGTTCTAGTTGTGGAAATTACACACTTTTGGTGTAATACTTTATTTTCATTAATTATTTGTAATTTATTTAGATTAGGATTATTCTGAGCTTAGGACAGGTCAAAATCATCCCAAGAATCAAAGGATGGATCCTAAAGACCAAAGAATGTACAAAAGGGAGAAGATCAAATGAAGATCTTGATATTTGTTCAATATACTCGGTCGAGTATTGCCAATACTCGGTCGAGTATTGGTCAGATACGTTGATCAAAATCAAATATGGGAGCAAAAGAACGTGGCTGAATATTTGATGAAAATCCTGTCATACTCGGTCGAGTATTGGAAATACTCGATCGAGTATGCCTATTTTTCACAATTTCCTGGAAATTTCCTCTCATACTCGGTCCAGTATCCCCAATACTGGATCGAGTACAGAACCGTGCCACCTCCATTTTGCTATAAATACACCCCCTTTCCTTCACATTAAACTCTCTCCTTCTTCCATACTCTTAAGCTCAGTTTAGAATAGTATTTCTTTCATATTTTTATAGCATGTTTAGTCTCCAAATGAGGAGCTAAACTTCCATTTCTTGGTGTTGCTCTTGAAGCTTGTTGATTATTAAAGTTGTGAGTTATTTTCTTAACTTCTTCCCTTGAATATTAATTCTTCTTTTAATCTATCTATATATTAATGTTGGGGAGTGTGGCTAAGATGACAATTAGTTAACATCTCGACATTAGTTATAGTAGTATTTATTTTCTTCCTCTATATATTAATGTTGGGGAGTGTTGCTAAGATGACAATTAGTTAACATCTTGACATTAGTTATAGTAGGATTTATCATCTTTAATATTCTTCCTTGAATATTAATTAATTCCTATTCATATTTCATATTAATATTTTGAACATTACTTAAAGGATCAATTAGTTTTGTTTCATTTATTAATTATTACTAGAATCGGTCGACGAATACGCTTGTTAATCGTCGTGGTTAATAAACTTAAGAGAGATTAATTTTTTTGGTTAAACCAAAACCGTTGTGTTGAGGTTATCAATCTCAATTGATTTCATCAAGGAGTTAAGAGATTAAATGCTACTATCTAGTCGGTATATGGCGGTGTTCTATACTTGACTAATAGTAAGGGTTATTAATGAATGGTCGTTGTTAATAACTACCCTCGATGAATTGGATATACTCCTCGATTGAGTATTCGAGAGGGGATAAGTTATAGATATAACAATGATCGACTAAAATATATTAACAAGTGGAAAGTAGCAATGTCAAGTCCTTTATATCTTTGAATTAAATCACATATAAGTTGTTCATCTTTGTGTTTAATTAAATTAAATCATTCAATCATAAACCCCCCTTTTATTTACTAGTTTTACAAAAAGAGAATTATTCCTTTCCGTGTGGATACGAACTCTACTACGCTATACTACGTATAAGTGTTAGTATTGAATTTATTTTGACGCACCGTGACAAAGTGCTCGTCACAGACACTTAGCAATAAACATTAACCTACGACATTTTCATCTTCTTCCTTAAGCTAGGTTTCTACTTTTCATATCTATCTTAATATGGTATCAGAGCCGAAATCCTAGTCAATCTCTTTTCTTGTTAGCCATACCGCCATACTCAAAGTAAACCACGAGATGGCAGTTGGTGATAAAGACAGCAGTCATGGTGACACAATAACTATTGATTGCATGTCTCCCTACTACATACAATCCGGTGATAAACCCGGAGATGTTTTTGTCACTTCACTTCTTTGTGATGGCAACTATGGAGATTAGCTCGATGAAATGACCAATGCTCTATATGCCAAACATAAATTCGGATTCGTTAACGGCGATATCCCCATGCCGGAAAAGAATTCCTCTTACCTACCATGCATATTGGCAACACGCCAATGTCATGGTGAAATCATGACTTAATAGTAGCATGAAACTTGAACTACGACAAAGTGTAAAATTCAAGACTGCCCGTGAGATATGGATCAATCTTGAAAAACACTTTGGAAAGGAAAGCGCTCCCCGAGCGTATGAATTGCGGTGTTTGTTAGGAATTTAATTCACGCACACGAAAAACAATAATGAAGAACACACGAAATTTGGTAACCCAGTTCGCCACGAATGATTATGTCTGGGGGCGCTACCAAGCCAGGAATATTATTGCTATTTTCGGATCCACACTAGATTACAATGGGAGAGAGCTTGTATTTATAGAGAGTAAAACCCACCCCTAATCCAACTAGGAGGCTCGGCCGAAAAAAAAAAGAAAAAATCTGTACGGCCCAACTGTAGGGAATCCGTACGGCTCACTTGTACGGAATTGTACGGAAAACTTGTTCGTCAAAAACGGATAAAAAATTTCGGATAGACGGATAGAGATTGGTTATACAGTCTCTAACGCCTTACAGTGTTCACTTGGGGCTGTCCGGCAGGACAAGCAGTTTGTTTCGGCATATTTCAGCCGACTTCGGCGTATATGGGACGAGATGGCATCAATATCCAAGGCACCTAGCTGCAATTGCGGAAAATGTACGTGTGAAATCATGAAACAAATCAACATCGAGATGGACCGAGATTGTCTTTATGATTTTCTAATGGGATTGGATGATTATAATGCTCATCTGAAAAGCCAAATTCTAGCCACACGTCCAATTCCGTCTTTGACTACCGGTTACCATTTAATCTCCGAGGGCGAGTGATATGCACTATTTCCTAGTGCATAAGTTTGTTATTTTAGTATTGTTTGATTGTTGTTTTTAATTGTTTAGTTTAGTTTGTGATGTACTCTCTAGATTTATTTTGTAGGTTTTAATTTGTATTTTTAGTGTGTATTTGGTTGTAAGTACCACAAAGGATGCAAGGGAGTATTATAGGCACCAAAGGAAAGAAGATGAATGGTGGAAATAAATTCTGGTAGCAAACCCGGCTGGGTTGGAAAACAACCAAGTCGGGTTGGAAGTGACATATGAAGCCAAAAGGAAGCTACACGCCGAAACCCGATCGGGTTGGTACAAAACCCGGTCGGTTTTAGTTGACAAGAACAAAAGAACGTGTCGAAGATCAAAAGAACGTGAAAAATATCCGATTTCATATGTAACTCGGTCGGGTTTTGACCCAACCCGGTCGGGTTGCATGTGATTTTAGCACCTTCCAAGCGATTAAGGATACCTGGTCGGGTATTCTATATACCGATCGGGTATCAGACCCAACCACCTGAAAATACCTATAAATACACCCCTTTTTCCTCACATTTAAATGATCAGTTCTCTTATACTCTAAAGCTCAGTTTAGTCAAGTATTTCCTTTATATTTTTAGCATGCTTAGTCTCCAAATGAGGAGCTAAACTCTTCCATCTTGGATTTGCTACTTTGAAGCTTAATGAATTGTAAGTTGCGAGTTATTTTCTATAATCTTCTTTCTTGAATATTAATTCTTTCCTTAATCTATCTCTATATTAATGTTGGTGAGTGTTCCTAAGATGACAATAAGCTAACATCTCAACATTAGTTACAGTAGCATTTATTTTCTTTAATCTTCTTCCTTGAATATTAATTAATTCCTATTCATATTTCATATTAATATTTTGAACATTACTTAAAGGATCAACTAGTTTTGTTTCATATATTAATTATTACTAGAATCGATCGACGAATACGCTTGTTAATCGTTCGGTCTTTTCACGGTAGTAAACTTGGATTATTAATGCATGTGCCTCATGGTTAATAATCTATGGGGAATTAATTAATTATATTGATTAAACTAATAAACCGCTTGTGTTGAGGTTATTAATATCAATCGTTTTCATCTTAAGTTTATTACTACTATCGGGTTAATATACGGCGCGTGTTCTATATTGACTTGGTAGTAAGTTGTTTATTACAGAGTAATTTTTCGTATCGATGAACAATTGAACATTAAAATCTATTTATTTTGTTGTTAACCTAATTTTTTATTTTGACTGTTTTATAATTTTACAAATTTTTAATTACTTTTCATATTCTCTTACCATTTTTTCGTTTTATAACGTTGTAATCAAATTTTTCTACGATTCTTACATTTTATAATACTTTTGGTTACTTTCTTAAAAGTTTTTCTCAATTAATTATCCTCTTACTGTTCAATTGGTTTGGCATGCTTTGTTAAAGGTTTTCGGAGGACTAGAGCAGGTTTTACACATTTAGAGCCCGTATGGTGACCCCTTTTTCGGCTTATCAGACTTATCAGCCAGCTTTTTCACCTAACACGTAACTTTTGATTTCGTGCACTTAATTTTGTAATAAGCAGATGTTTAAGCAAAATTTTGATAAGCTAAAACTAATTAAAGAGAAAGTTATATATATGTAGATGGGGTCTTGTACAAGAATAATGAAGAAGATGACAAGCAAGCAAACAAGAGTGTATCTGAAGGTGTTATTCAAATGTCAAGTTGCTGTAATACAATAGGGGATGTCCTATTTATAGGAAGGATAGTTAATGCTCTCATGATTGTTTTGTCCGTTACTAACGGGTTGGCCGCCCCTTATGACGATTTCAAATCTGTCATAAAGGCTACTCAATTTCAATCAATATCTTCCTCAATCACATTAAAGAACCTAATATTGCATAAAAATGTTACAATAATTGTCATCAGGCCTCATGAATGTATCATTAACGTCTGTGGTCAACCTTTTTTAATGCAACATAAATCGTCGATTTCTTGCTCCAACAACAGATAAAGTAATGTTGAAATTACTTTTTTGGCATTATCGGCTGAAGTTACTGTAGAGGATCATTTTAGCTATTTTTCATATAATTTTTTATTTAATTTATTAATAACAAATATTTTAAATATAATTTTTTCATGAATCAGCAGAATCAGCCAATACAGTCACTTCAGCCAGAACTTCATAAATTTCAGCAGAATCATACAATTCAGCCAATTTTCGTGTTACCAAACGGGCTCATAGACCCCCACTGCTTTTAGACCTCCACTGCTTTTCCGGATACAACCCC